ACCAGGAGAACGAGGTCCATGTGAATATAGCAGACAACTGGTGACAGTCCCTGGGAGGAATTTCAAACCAATTTTTGTAGCTGAGACAGAATGAGAAAGGAACAAGGAGATACTGGGATCTGAGGCAAACTYGGGCTAAGAAACAAATCCAATGGATGCTGACATCTATTTCCTTCAGGTTTGGGGATCCCATGTGGCAGCAAACCCCGATCACTAGTGGCAGTTGCCACTCCTATTGGCCTGCACAGTTACAATTTCACAAGATCATCTGCCAAGAGTTCTGCCCATAATCAGCAGTGAAAGTATCCCAGTACTGCCCGATCACTTCATCTGGGTTTGGGTAACCCTAAAGGGAGGGTTATTAAAGGACCCTTTAAAGGAATCTTATTAAAGGAAGATATGGGACCGCTTTTGAAGCAAGACCTTTCAGTGTCACAAAAATGCCATACCGGAGCACATGTACTTTAAACAAACAGACAGTGGAGGGAGTTAAACCTTGAGAGTAACATGACATTTCCAAGAGCTGATTATTCCTGACTTCACCTCGGAAGGCATCCTAGTGGTAAGTCTTGGAGATGACACAGAAAGCTTATCTTATTACCCCGCCACGGATGTCCCAAGTAGTGTTTCTGATATGCAAAGTCTGTATCACAGAAAGCCTGGAGCCTGCTGCAATATAATTAATGTGATGATAGGAAATCTTGCACTGGAGCACAGCCAGGATTTTCATCCCACTCAAGCTTCACTCAGTTACCACTGGACTTTCTATTCTTCCCTTAGCCATCCACCTTATTTGTCTTTGCTTCCCAAGCCCTCTGAAGCACCTTTTAAACCCTATTGACATGAGTGTTGGCTATGGTAGCAATGCAGGCTCTATGAAGGAGTCTGTCTGGAGCAAATTCCTTGCTTGCTGGTGCGTCTGTAGCTTAAATCAAAGCTCTCTTATCCTTGCATATGACACCAGCTCAAATAGCCTTGCAACCTCTCAACTCCCAATTCCCTGCAGACACTGTTATACTTRAAGTGGTTCCTCCTTCCTCATCCCTGTCCTTTTCCTCGCGAGTTTGGCTTTCCACATAAAATTCTTTGTGAAGARCTAGAAATCTCCAAAGACCCTGTGTTATACTGGTTACTTTATACCCTGCCCTACACTCTGGATTTCTCTGATAACAAGGTGCATACACTGTATATCACAGCTGTGGAAAGAAGGGGGATTTATACGTGGCCTCTTCTAAGTGCAATACACTGGCCTGGATCCCCTCCCAACATCTGCTCTTAGTCTGGACAAAGGGAGTGAACGATGTTACAAGGTTTGTAGCGTGTGTAAGAAAGATCTCATGAAGAATTGCATACTCCTAGCCCCTGGGAAATGGGTATGGACAGTCTCTTGGAATGAGGTGTAGCCTCGACAGGGATGCTTCGTCTTGYAACACCATTTTTTTCCCCTGCATTATTTACTAGTAAATAGCATTTGTATTGCTTCTTACAACACTGCAGTGCTGGACAAATGAAAATATCTGTAGGCTGTAACAGACATCATCAATAGAGGGGCTTGCCTCATCCRTCCGCACAATACATGGACTGCAGGGTGAAGAAGAGAAGCTGGTGTCTCAGTGTCGAGGCTTGCACACTGTTCATCTGAATGTGTTCATATTTTGGCAGAAAGGGCTTATTTTGCTCTCTCTCCCTCCACCTGCTCATCACCCATGAGGTACACCAAGAACCCAAGCAGGGTGTTGTTTCACTTAGTCCAAAATTTGCTTCTGAGCACCTCTTTGGTGGTAGCATTGATTTCATCTGTCTCTAAAGTACTCARACCTCATCATTAATTTTCCTTTCCCATTCCCTTTCTGTTCCTTAGGAGAACTTAAATGTACTGTGGATTTTCTCATTGACCATGTAAGGTCCAAAAGTTACAGATCCAAAGGATGAACTAAACCTTTGTTTGGAAATAGCCAGCATTATATCTACCCCTGGCTTGGGCATCATCATGTTCTAGGCCAGACCAAGGCACTTTGCTAATTGCTAATGCCTGTAAACCAACGTGCTTTTCACGGGACAGCCTGACAATACAAGGTTCCCCATTAGGTCACCAGGGTCATAACACACAGACCTGCAGAAAGGCCCTGGATGCCCAGCTCCTATGGCAATCCTGAATATCCGTCCTTATTCATCTCAAGCGGGCACCAGAAAGCCAAGGGACTCTAATCTTGTAATGGTGAGTTCGGATTAACTGGCTAATTTCGTTGAAGCTTTTTCTGGTTTTGTCAGCAAGTTACTCCCAGGCTACCAAATATCCCTAGGGATATCCTTTTGCTCCAGACCATCATTTTGTCCACATGGACTTTGAGAAATTTCCACTAGAATTCAGCCTGTTTGAACAGTGTCAGTGACCAGGCCTGTACAAGAGGCCAAGCAAACAACTCACAACCTGTAAATCGGGGATGTCTAAGGTGCCCTGYGGGTCTTGGCTAGGAAAACAGAAGCCCTCACTCAACAAAATGGACKATGTGGAAACAAAATCATGGACAGCAGGACTCCTTTCAGAAATACCGCTGCTCTCTAGGATAACTGCTTTTCAGACATCTGGAATTTCATTTCTTCCAGAAGATAAGAGCCAGAAAGAAAAAGGATGTTTCTGTCTTCAACAGAGAAGAGCTGAGCTGCTCTCCTGATTCTGCCACCGCTTCTTTTTCAGACTCTGAGCAAACTATTCAGCTCCCCAGGCCTCAGTTCTCCATCAGCACAAGCAACACGACAGCAGAAGCTCTCTCCCTCTCCTCCTCACCTTCTGCCATGTCATCCATTGAAGTGTTTGACAGAAATGGCAAGCCCAGGCCTAGGGCACCGACTTCAGCTGGTGTTTAATGGAARCGACAAAGGATGTTTGGGAGCAGTTTTTCCCAACAAAAGAGGAGATATAAGTTGGACAAGGACAGAGCAATACTCACCCCTGCGATGTGGCCTGCACATCTCTGAGGAAGCCAAGCAGCAYGAGCTCCAACGCAGGAGGATTCCCGGCTGTCCCGTGTACCTCGTGAGAAGGAAAGCTTTGCTGAGGATATCAGCAGCATCTCCCTGGTTGCTACAAGCTGTGGCCTCCTCTTAGAGAATTCTTTTATTAAGGAAAATACAGCTCTCAGAAAGCCCTCTCACTTCTCCTCTCCCGCGACTTTCCCTCTCGCGTTCCCAGGGCCATGCAATAAGGCAGAGCTCTCAAAGGAGCRTAAGCGTACGGCCTAGCTAAACCCAGCTTGTAGAGACCCAAGTGYTTCACAAATAGAAAACTGGTGATGCCCCCGTGTCCCTTTCAAACAGCCCCGGAGGCAGATTTTGAGGTGCCCCATTTCAGGGAAGGGCGAGGGCCAGGATTTCTTCCTAACCAATACCCACATCCACGACAGACACTTATCCTTCTCATGGCTCGTCGTCTTTTCAAACCACACAACAGTGGCATTGTTCAGATGGCAACTTCACAGCACAAGGCGGTCGTCACATCCCTCTGCCGGCGCTGGCTGCGGTTCAGGTTTCAAAGCCCAGAGCAAGTTTTTTTTTTGCACTCAAGCTTTTCTTCTGGGAGCAGGCTGACAAGCCCAACAGCTCGCCCGCAAATGTGCCAGGCTGTAATAAAATCACCAGTCACCCAGGATCTCCTCCAGACCAGACAAAGGTACTGCAAGGGCAGGGAAAACAGATGCCCTGCAAATACCAGAAATCATGTGGTGTTTACTAGGACTCGCGGCCTTGTTCGTGCCACCCGCCTGGACCCACTCCAGGCATTCAGGGTTCACACTGGACTGACTCCAGATTAAATGACAGTGTAATAATTCATGTGCATCTCCATGCTTTGGTTTGCAAACCTACAATTAAAAGGATACAGGGACACGGTAATTTCCTCGCTGAATCAGACCTGAGGGCCAGCTAAGGCAGGATCCTATTTATTACGTTGGTAAGTGGAAAGTTGACAACATAGTTCTCCYTGTCCCAAGATTTGGGAAATTGTTACTTTAAGAAAACTTGAATAGTCAAGAGTAAAGAGAAATCCCTGCAGAGAAAAATAGGGAGAACTTTCTGCAGTACTTTCTCTAGGATATTTGTAAATCATGCASAGTTCAGCCTGCAAATGGTAACGTTGCTAGATTAAGGAGAAGACATGAAGTTGCTTTTGAGAGAGAATTTTATGCTTTCATTCATTAACTTCCATTCTGCTTTGGAAAAGGCCCCCTCAACGTTCCTTTCATATTTTTGTTTTGTTTGAAATATGTCTTATCTCACACACTACCATGCACAAATAGAAAACCCGAATGTAACTTCCATCTAAAAATGTAAGCAAAAAGTCAGTTGGAAAGAAAAAGAACTACTAAATAAAACATACATAGTCAGTCCAGTCAGGTTCTTCTATTATTCTTTCCAAGTTAAGGRAAAAAAAAGGGTTAAATCAATGCCATTTCTTCAACTGTTTTGCCAGAACATTTTCCAATGGAAAGCCACTTTGTCAAAATGTTTCTGACCATTCTAAGCACAACAGTTCCTACAGAGAATTTATAGGATAATCAGTACAATCTTGTAGGATAATCAGTACAAGATTTACAAAAATAGAAAAAAAAAATAAGTGTTACTGTGGGGAAACTCAGACATGGAGCATAAGGTTTCRTGATTCCCCTAATTTCATTTTCATCCTGAGATTTCAAGATGTTGGCTGAGGACAACTACTACTTTATCATCAGGTAAGGGATACAGCCTATGGCAGAGGAAACACATCGATCAAACGGCATCTGCTAGGAAAACTTAATTCTTTTCCTGTCTTGTTTAGTTGTTTCCTATTAAAAAGTCATCAGACTGGAAGTAAATGGTCCGCCTTTATGAACTGAAAACATAACATCACATCCTCAGCTTAGCAGCATGAAAAAGACAAAATACAAAGAAGATGYGTCTTGTACATCCAAAGGCCAAAAGTTTAAACTTCCCTAATGTGACCAGAAATGATTCTTACCAGCTCAGGAAAATCCCCTTTTGGGGGGAAGACTTTCAGTGCTGGCAGCTTTTGATTGCATGAGGAATATTGTGCAGAAGTTAATTTCTCGAGGCATTTGGATAATCCAGCTGCCAACGCCAATCCGACGGAGGAACCTGAGAAGGGAATGTACAAGTGCATGAGCATTTGTGCAAGGTGATGATTTGGAGGCAGGTTCAAAAACAGCAAATGTTCCCACATTTTACATTACTAAAGAAGAATGAACTCCATCCCCTAATCCTTCTTCCCCTAATCATTCCTCCYTATGTTATTGGTACGCAGCTCATCTCCAGGAACAGAACAAGGAAGGAGTTTGCAGCTAGTTTCATTTGCTGGGCAGTGCTGCAGATGCCAGCTCCACATACTTGCCACTGCAAACACTGCAGGAGAGTATTTTAATCTAAATAAAGACGATGCCAAATCTAGTCTCTTAAAAAAAATGCACAAATGAATTCATTTAGAGAACTAAACAAGCTCTTGAACATGCAGAACATAAGTTTACTGGTGACTTCAATATTTCAAAAACTCCGAAGACCAAAAGCAGAATGACAGGGATTTATTCCTACATAAGCTCAGTAGAGCCTCTTTTATCTGTCTGTCTGTTTGTCCGTATTTCTGAAAGTGCATTTCATCTCCTGTTTTCTCAGGACTGGATTTCCATCCCTAGGACCCAACAGTCCTGAGCTGCTGAGGCCCTCAGAATTTCATTGCTTCTATTCAGAGCCAAGAACATGATCAGCCTTGAACTAATTTCAGCTTGGTGTAGGACATCAATACTGTTAGTAACTATCACAAAGTTTTCGTTGTTTTGTTTTTCATTTTCTAAAGTAAGTCAAGGCATGGGGCTCCTCTGCTTTGCAGAAAGAAGTAACACAGCCTGAACTCGGGATGTTCCTGCATTCTCAGAATCACAGAATCACAAAATATTCACATATTCACATGCCATGCTGAAGGAATGCGCCACAGACGTGAAATCAGATTTAAAAGATCTAATAAGAAATGGGTCTAGCACCAAGATAACATATCCTGTACTGTGAGAACTGGCAAATATGCTYCTTTCCTTTCTGACCTTGTTATCAGTGTATTCCAGCACAGTTAGGAAAAAAGAAAAGTATTTATGTGACCCTATTTTCAGATGTGGCAAAGTGAGGGAAGATCSCTCCATTTCTGGACCTGCAAGAAATAATGTGCAAGAAGGTGTGGGCAGCCAAGCCTTCGTCCTGCCTATCTGCTGGAGGAGGAAGAACAAGCCATGCCCCTCTTCCCCAAGAAGAACAGTGAATTGTGAAACCTTGTGGCATTTTGCTATTTATGTCAAGCATGGCACATATGATCTTTTTTAYAAGGAATGCCACGGAGTTAGTTCCTCCCTTCCCGCTGGATCAATAAATTGTACGGAGATAGAGCAGTTGATTTAGTTTATGGTGATGCTTYGCATCTCCTGGAATATGCCCATTGTCCCCAAAAGTGACAACAAGCAACTACATCCCAAGTCATGGGGAGGGGAGGGAAATGACTGCAGTAGGGATCCGTTGGAATTATGCTGCATTACAAAGCAAGGGAGAAATGTTTCCAAAATCATTAAATTTCTCATTTGTCCAGTGCAGTGATCAGAAGAATCAAGTCAGGGCAAGCAGCAAAAGGCAAAAGGAACACAAAATCAATGGGAAGGGAGGTCAGGAGGAGGGAAGATCAGTGAAATTAGCACTACCCAAGAGTTAGCACTGCCGAACATGTCCAGCCTGACAGCCTTCCCTCCCCTCCCTTTGAAAGGGAGGCTAAGACAAACAATACAATTTTATACCCAATGTACAGAAAGGCAGGGAAGGGGAATGAATAAGCAAATTAAAAGGAAAGCAAAATAAAGATACATTTGTAATGTATGTAAAAATACATGTGTGTAAAAATACATGTATGTAAAAATGTGTGTAAAAATACACACAAAAATGTGCCTGCAGACAATGTTAGAAGAAAATATACAGCAGGTATTTCCCCCAAATGGTCAGAGCGGCACCCAGTCCCGGCAGCCGGCACACTCCTCCTCGACGAAGGCTCACGGCTGCGCCATTAGGAGACGGCGCTACAGGTTGGAGGCCTAATTTATGATTTTCAGATTGCCAGCTGTGACATAATTCATCATGCAGCAAGACTGAGGTCAATATACGTTTAAGTAAAAAGGTTTTCTGTAGGCCTGTGGGGTCGATCAGGAAAAGTTATCACTACCACACGGAGGGAAGCTGGTGGGGAGGGGGTGACCAAGCAGTCAATTCCCGTTAAGTAACTAAGGCTGTTTTATGGCTAAACAGCAGTTTAGTAGCAAAGTCYATCCTAGAGCATCTGAACTGAAGGATTTACCCTTTTGGACAAAAAGATTCCACCAAGTCTCCATGCATCATTCCCTCTGTGCACTAGCCTCTCTTCTTCCCAAACTCAGATTGGATCTAGATTCAAATCCTTGTTTCAAATCCTTGATTCAAATCCTTGTTTCAGAGAGGGAAGATGAKCAATTTAGGAAACTGCTCAACCACGTTCATCAAGTTCAGCCCCAGTATCCCTGCAGATGACAAGAGCATGAGACACATGGTGCTTCATGGCTTGAAAGTCCTGCGTGACTTGGAAGGTGAGGTCTTCCAGACATCAGAGCTCCAGGCTTATTCACATCTACCTTAGTAAGACCCCATTTCCTCACCAAACTGAGGTGGCAGCAGCTCCTTCTCCAGGTGCCAAGATGGGACGCAAGGTATTAAAGTCAGAACAAAGAGCTTGATGTAGGTCCCTGCTCTTCTCCGGCTACACCACTCCAAAGCGGCTGGAATTTACTTAACCTAACTAAGGTCAACAGCAACATGAGGATGCGAAACACAGAAGGGAGAAAGAGCCCTAGCTGAGCAAAGACAAGGAGGGTTGGAGGGTGGGAATGGCTACCAAGGGTGAGCAGGTACTTTCAACAGATTTTACTACTCATGGGAATATGTAAAATGGTGTTAAGAGGTGAAAGCCAAAGAGAATATAGCCCAAAGTGTTCAAGGGATGATCACAGAGAAAGGTATAAAAATCCACCCTCTTGCAGACTGTCTACAGATAGATCCCATAGGTGGAGGAGGTCAACAGGCTCCTGGTGAGATCTTGCTGCTTGTGTGCACAAAAAAAAAAAAAGAAAAAAAAAAAGCCTGGGAAGCTGTTTGCAGGCCAAGTGAGCTTGGAAAGCTGCATTACTCATCAAGATCATCCCAGCGCTCTTCCAGAGAGCGTGTATGTAGCCATGCAACTCAGCTTGGTTTGGCAGGAGAAGGTGGCTGCATAAACAGTGGTTGGAGCAAGCTCCAAAAACAAGACCGTTGTTACCACAAGAGAAGATGGTGCGACATAACAGTCACCAGCGTCCACCAGGACTGAGCAGGACTTAACAAACCTGTGCTCGCTTGCAGCTCTAGGAGCATCCGCGTCTGCTGATAGAGCTGGTGTGTCCTGAGAGGCACCAAGAAGAAATCCAGGTTTCACTTCAGAGCAGGAATGTGGATTGTGAATTTGCAGCTTTAACATAAAACTGCACTCGGACTTGCTGCATAAGTCACTTGCTGTCCATACACAGAGTGAAATCTACTTCCCCTCCAACAACCTCCCTTCTATCAGCATTAGTTTTCTTTTCCTTACAGTAAAGAAACAGCCCAACAGGGAGAGATGATCTCTGCTGCCTAGGGGACTTAGGGGTGCCAAGAGCCCCCCTGCATACTCCTTTGCTGCCCACATCTGCTGAGGTTTCAGCAGCCTCTCCTCGGCACCCATTGCTTTTTGTTCCCGGTTGTTGGGTTATTTCCATTATTCAAATCCGGGTGAAAGCAACACTTACATAAAACTGTTAGAGTGTATTAAAGAAAAACATGGTAGCAGACCTATTTCACACATCAATTGCTGTTGGGAAACAGATACAGATTCTCTGCCTTGCAAAAGCAAAATGTGAAGAAGTTGGGGGTGGGGAGCAGCATCAGCTCCCCAATAACCCAGCTCTTGTGTGCACATGGACGGAAATTCAGATATATACCCAGCCTCTCCAGGCCAAGCAGCTTTATCACAGAGCATTTAAGCAGGATTGAGCACATCAACTGAAAGGTGCACACAAGATTCAAGTATTTTCCTCATTATTATTGCAGAGGCAATAAAAGGTGGGAGCAGCTCATGTTTTCTCCTGGTTTCTAACTTGCGGGAAAGCTCGTTATCAGCGGGGCATCCTTGAAACAGCAACCAAGAGCATTAACTTTTAATATTTAATGTATTCTTCAGGCTCAGGGAGAGCAATGTGAGAAATATCCCGTAAAAATCTATTAGTGTTAATAAAATACCACCCAACAGGTTGTCCATTATCAGCAATTAAAGTTTTCAAAGCAGGTCAGATAACTCCCTGGGATGATTTGTGTGGCCTTCACATCCGTTCTTCTCCTTCTTCCATTTTTTTTTCTGTATTAAAGTTTCTCAACTCTTTCTTTCCTCCCTCCCACAGCCCAGTCGGAGCCCTAACCAGTGAATTATAGCACTAATGAGGTGTTTATACTCTCTGCCCATCAATCACAGATGTGTGTGAGCGAAAGCGCCAGCCGATAGCCGGGAAGTGCTGCAGCGCACGGTGTACGAGACTGCAGCAAGATAAATCTCTTGCTTTTTCCTTTGCTGCTCTTTGCCGCAGGGCAGGAGCAAGCTCGCTCCATCTCGCATTCCCCACCTGCCTCAGAAATGGGGAGACCTTTGTAGCTCACGTAGGGGACCCGTTCCCTTTTGGCTCACTATTATGCAGAGCACCGTGTTCCCAGCAAGGGATATTCCTAAAAAACTAAAGCAGCAGTAGCGCAGGATGCCGTGATGTGAGGCACTAGCTGTCCCCCCATTCCCTGTGCAGTTTATGACTGGTGCTCCTGTCCTCCCTTGTCCTCACCTCCTGCTCTTCTCATTCCCTTTTCAGCGCCGAGGTCTCAATGCGGGTCCCCAGCACCCAGCTCTGCTAACGCGCTGCTGCACCCTGAAGGAGCAACACCAAGACCATAATTAGAAATTAGTTACAGTTTTGTTTCATTTAGTTAAAAAAAAAAAAAGTCTTTCATAGTTAGGATTTGGCTTATTTTCCCTTAAGGAAACATCTTAAGGAAATAAAGGAATAATATGGATTTGTTTTCTTAAGAAAATTAAGGTAAATCTTAAGGAAAAGTAAACCAAAACTTAAATGAACAAACCCCCACTTTTGCAGAGGACCTGAACATTTTTACAACTACACAAACAGAGTAATGGCATGAGGTGGCTCTGGCCTTAACTTGCCTTACACGCGCAGAGGAGGGGACAAATTGGGGTGCAATGCTCCAGAGGATGCCCTCAAGCTCTGCTTGCTGCCATCTCCAAGCTTGCAGCAGCAAAGAGCATCGGACTTGGTGGGACACAGCCCTGTGTAAGACCAGAAAGTCCCCTCTGCAACCATTAGGAAAGTTACGAGCAGACAGAGGAGGTAAAGGGAAGCAGCCTTTGCTCYAGAGCTGCTCTCCCAACATCATCATCCCTGGGGCCGACGGCAGCCTCGGGGCTGCCATTCACTTCATTTGGGAGTGGCGGAGTCTTTTTCCTCCCCAGATTCATGTGCAGGACAGAGGTTTTTAACCTTTTTCAACCTGTAACATCCTAGCACTTTTCTAAAGAAGTTACAAGTCCCTGTGGGGCACATTCAAACTAAGTGTTTGTCATAAAGTGACAAACACTTTAATTTTCTTAGTTATCTTTCAGAGATCCCTTCTCAGTTATCCATGCATCCCATCAGCTTGCTAGCTGAGAGGAAAAAAAGAGATGATTTTCAGAGAAAATAGCCTTTTTTCAGCCCAACTACTGGGCCAAAAACCCACAGGAACCTGYCAGAGGCATCTTGACCCAGTACTTGGGAATAGCTCATCTCCTGGCAAAGCAGATGAGCAGAGGAACATCCTGTGGCCACACCGCTCTTGGTCCTCAGGCAAAGGTACCTGAAGCTGCCTTGGGAATCTCCTCCTCTCAGCCCATCTGCTCTGTGGATATCTCCTGACTTCCGAGCAATGGAGAAGGGATGATAGAGGGAGACAGACACTGGAGTTTGCGGTGAGCAGCAGGGAAGGGGATGTCGCAGCTCTTTTCAGCGGAGCTGGAAGCCTTCCTATTTGGGGCCAGGTGACCAACTTCACTGGTGACCTTCCATCACAGGCACATGGGCAAAAACAAAAGGAAGGGTCTTAAGAGCTAAGCCTCTATTTAGGCACCAAAAGGAGTGGTTGCAGATCTTTAGAAACTTGCCATGCTGAGAAGACGTGGCTCGCAGTCACAGGGTAGGTGTATTCTGTGGTCTTCAGTCTGAATCATCCATGCTGGGGACATGACGAGCGTGCGCTATGGCTCCCTCTGACTCACATTCCTGGGATTCCTCCCTGGGGAAACCAAAGCGTGGGAGGTGAGGAAAGGGGACTGGTCCACAACCACATCTCCTCTCTGGCAGCACAGGAGAGCCTTCTGGACACAATAGCTGGGAAACACTGAATCTCCCACAGTTTAGCTAAAGCCCCAGGGAGCTACTGGGCCAAGAGATCCCCTAAAACATTCACCCTCTTGGAAATCTTGTCCCATTCCAACAGCTCAGGCAACAGCAAGACAGAGAGAAGAGGGATGCCCTTCTTCACCACAGGCTTGAAGGAGGGAGTCTCTTTGGATACGCTTTACATATTCTTTCTGTTGCTGGAATTGAACAAGCAAAATATAATTTGTCCCTGAAATATTCTAAATATCCCTTTCTCCCTACTTTGACCTGTGCAAGGAAATTTGTATGACGAGCTCAGCAAAGCACACATGAATATCATGTTTCCTTCCACCACAGCACTGCAGCCATGGAGGAACAAAGCAACTATTTTACAACACATGCAACTTACAGTGAAAATACATGGAGATGTGCTGACAATGGCCATGAGCATGATGAGACATTGTGTCCGTGCTTGTGCGAGGCCGAAGGCTCAGTGCCTCCTCTGCCCAGTCTTAGTACCCCCAGCTGCCCACCCCACCTGTCTGCGAGGGCTCCGTCTTGCAGCAGGGTCGGCAGAGGAGAACGTGCCTCCATGCACACTGCAGAGCCTGGGAAAAGAGCGGAGAGAGTGGGAAGCACAGTGGTTTATCTGTAGGAATTCCAYGTTTAGGACAATACTAGAAGTCAGCTGAAAGTCATTAAGTTTGGTCACTTAAGTGCTTTTGAAATCCATGCCCCAGACATGAGTCTGAGGCAGCCCTGCTGCAGAGTGACTCACGTGGCAAGCACGCAGYGAGCACACACCGACCCACGCGACGGAACCAGCTGGGTAAAGTGTAAAGCAAAAATAATTCCTAATTAAGGTCACCCTCCAATATGTCATGTGTGATACTGGCGCTGCTACGCTACACATCATTTTTCCTTGTGCTGTAGCCAGGATGGCAAAACACGCACTCTCCAAAGTCAACAAAGGCATTTTGGACATTGCCCAAGAATCCATATGTTGGGCTCCCTCCAGCAAACYGCGAGAGAAGTGACCAGATCACAGCCAAAGGCTGGATTGCAACAGCGGGTAAGTGTGGAGCCAGCGTGGGCAAGCTGCAGGAAAAGGCATTGATTTTATACCACCAATATCACCTCTGCGAGCACTGCTGGCTTCCTTGGGCCTGCTGGATTTGACTACTGGTGGAAGTAAGAGCCAGGACAGGAGCAGGGAGAGGGGAATGAGGGACAAATCATGCCCCACAACTCTAATCCTCCAAAAGCCAGGAATTCAACCCAAGGCAATTGCTTAAGTTCACTTTGTAATCAATGGAGAACAAAAGGCACTGCCAGAATGCAACTTCTCCCATCCGGACTTGAGTGGGATGTTTTTTCCCCGCTTCACTCTCTGGTGACAGAACAAGAAGCCTAGACAGGCTTGGTTTCCATGCTTAACTTCCAGAAGACTAAAACTGGGTGAGAGGAATCCTACCCTAAATGACCTGACCCAGCGAGCTCAGCCAAGCCAGCGACAGCAGCAGGAACAGGACCCGGGGGAACAGTGTCACGTCTCACGCTCTGACACACCAGCTTCCGATCCTGCCACCTCTGCCCAGGCGGATCTCCACCCAATCCCTTGAAAAACCAAGCCAGCTCCTGGCACTAGGATGCCCAAGAGCAGCAAAGTCTCCATTGAAGGAAGCGAGCAGGAACTYGGGGAACACGAGGGCTGAGAGCTGACTGGCATCCCTGTCGTTCCAAACAGCTCGTGCCAAACACGAACGGGGACAGTTTCTCCTGGCATGGCCAGACTGTGGTATTTTAAGCTGGAAGAAGCAGTGGGTGCCAGTGTTTCTCCTCCTGCACCGGGGCCTCCCGGAGGCCTCCCTGTGTGAAGGGGCATGGCTGCTTGAACCCATCCGCCCTTTCTCTCCTTCACCTTTGCTCTCCCTCTGCTGCCCGCCGAGACCTGGGCAGAGCAGGGCTGAACGACGACAAGCGCAGGGCGCCGGGGCTGCGGCGGCCGCCCGACAGCAACAGGGTGCGAGTCACCTCCTCCGTGCCAGGTTACACCAGCTCACTCGCCATGACATCCCTGGCCTCGCTCAACAGCTTCCAGCAAACTCTGCAGACTTGCACTGATACAATTAGTCTGCCTCAGCCCTGGAAAAAGAAAAAAAGCCACGGAAAGCTACACTGAATCCTGCCCCCTGCAACATTCACAGTTTCCTCTCCCTCCTTCCTTCCTTGTGAATTTTTTTAAAATTAGCCTCCCCCTTTTTTTTTCCTTCCTCTTCCCCTATTAGCAAGGGAAAAACACAWGGAAGAAAACAGAGGCAGCTAAAAGCTCATTAATATACTTGACCTTTCGGAAGAAAATTAATTCCAAATTCGCACATACCGGCTGTGTTGCTTGGTTTTGTCAAAACGGTGGCATCATTAGAGAGGAGAAGAGATGGCTCAAGGGGACGGGGTGTCTGCCACCTCAATGGAACTTGCACCGAGTTACTGAGTGCTGGCATAAATAAAGCAATGACATGGGCCATTCTGTCAGCTTTTCACATGAAATTAATCTTCGTTTCGTTGGCTGTGTAAATTTTTATCACCACGGAGTGGGGGGTGATGAATATATCAAARCATCCTGACAGCTATGGCCTGAAAACTCGAGATTGTCTCTGCATCTTAACCGCAGTGCTGCTGGAAGAATCCTCCTTCCCCACCGCTCTCCCTGGGTGTGTGGGTGCGGGTGTACGTGCGCCCGTGCGTCTGCCTGTACGTGCGAGCCATCGGCTGACACTCTTCCGACTTGATGGTGCTCTGGCCAGGGAAGCGCGAGGGCTTTGGGCTTCCCGGCTCAAGGGCAAACAAGTCACTGCTGCCCTCGTCCACGCGGAGTCGCGGCCCAAAACCAGCGCAGGTCCCGGCCTGCTCTGCCCCGCTGAGGGAGGAGCGGCGCGAACGGCTCTCCCGGGCTCCGCAGCCTGTTGTCGCTCCTGTTTTTAGTGCGTGTGCCACGTTGCGGCCCAGGTTTGTTCGACATCGCTGGCTGCCAGCAAGGCAGGGAGGTACCAGCCACGTCTGCAGCGCTGGGAGCGCTCGCGCACGGTGGCCCCTTGCCAGCTAAAGGCCCCCCGGGGCCTTCGGGRGGCCAGCACGGACCCCCCAGGCCCGCGAGCACCAACGCACCGGCACACGTGAACCCGCACCGGGGCTCCATGGCACTAAGCTGAGACTGAAGCCTCTCACACTCCACGGAGCAGCAGGGCAGGTTTCCCAATGTCACTCAGCTCCTTCACGGGCTGCCTGATGGTGGCCAAATATCCCGGGGGATGGCGGTGCCAAGTGACCAGGCCTCTGGCCACTCTCACACATGCTGCATTTTGCATCTCTGGTTAGTCAAGGGCATCGAGTGCTCTTTTTTGGAGCAGTGCAAGGCCAAGGCTGGCACAGTCACTGCCCCCATG